CACCACTGCATGGCAGCGGTAGACTCACCGGTGACCACCAGATCCAGGGGCTCGCTGGGCTCGACCAGAGCTCCCCACTGCGGCAGAAGCAGCGGTAGCGCCCTGCAGTGCGCGAGGTCATGGCCGCGATGGGGGAACCGGACTCCGCCCTTGCTCCGGGTTGCTCAGGTCTCCCCCAGGCAGAGAGGCCCCCCTTGGAGCGCAGCTGGTACTCCTCGGCCCTGGGGGGCCCCTGGCACCAGATGGCTGCCGGCTTCCCCTCTGGAATCCTGGAGTCGGGCTCTGCCCAGATGCTGGGCCTGGTCAGGGCCTCTGGAAGGGATCAGAACCTAGGTTTCCGGAAAGACCCCACCCCAGCCCCCTCCCCCGGCAACAGCCCTGCCCACTCCCAGTTTTCCCAGTGGTGGTGACTTCCTGGTGACCTCGAGGGTGACCCTGGGGCGGTGAAGGGAGGAGTCACGCTTCTGGGTGCTGATTCTCCAGGCTCAGACACAGCCTGGGAGGCAGGAACCATGGTCATATTGCCCCCCAACCCATACCCCGGTCCTCTATTGCCCTCCCGTGCCGGGACTCACTGAGGCAGAGCAGGGCCGTGAGCGGGAATGGCATGGCACAGATTCAGGCGGGAGATGCAGCGTGGCCGGCTGGCAAAGGAGCACAGCATTGTGGCGGGCAAGGCCTTACGCCAGTCACCCAGGGGATGTTTTTACAGGCAGTGCCACAGCCCTCCCTCCGCCACCTGACCACGGCCCCACGACAAATCCAACCACACCCGCAATCTGTTACTGGAGAAAAGCAGGGTTCTTGTCTTCACACGAAGAAAGAATTCAGGTGGAGAGGCCGGCACGGTGGCTCACTTGGTTAATCCTCCGCCTGCGGCGCCGGCATCCCATATGGGCGCCGGTTCTGGTCCTGGTTGCTACTCTTCCAGTCCAGCTCTCTGCTGTGGCCCAGGAGTGCAGTGGAGGATGGCCCAAGTGCTTGGGCCCTGCGCGCCACATGGGAGACCAGGAGGAAGCACCTGGCTCATGGCTTCGGATCAGCACAGCGTGCCGGCCGCAGCAGCCATTTGGGGGGTGAACCAACGGAAGGAGGACCTTTCTCTCTGTCTCTCTCTCTCTCTCACACTGTCTAACTCTGCCTAATAAAATTTAAAAAAAAAAATAAACATTTAAAAAAAAAAGAATTCAGGTGTGAGACAGAGTAGTGGGAGGTAAAATAGCAAGGTTTATTAGGGCAGGGACATCCGTAAGGACGGATGGGCACCTCTCCAGACAGAGCCTGAGAGTGCCCAGTCGCTCGGACTGGCAGGGCGTAGTGAGGTTACATGGTTGAGTGGAGAGAGTACACCTGGGCAGGCAGGCCGATCAGCGGAGATGCAGAGGGCTGAGCGCACCGTCCAGTTGAGGCCGGGGTTTTTAAGGAAGATGGGTCTTGTCTTCACACAGCTCCTCCTGAAACAAAGGATTTATGGCTGTAAATATTAAGAAGCTCCTATCTGACTTTCCCCTGAAGGTATCAGACAGGAGGAAGCCTAGCTGGCACCATCCTGGGTTCAGAGGAAGGGTGAGCAGGACCCCCTAGAGAATGGGGATCAGAGCAGGGTGTTTGAAATGCAGGTACTGGGCTGCATCTGGGAGATTGTGGCAGATTTGTCAGGCAGAAGGGGCGGGACCTCCACCTGGCAGGTTATCAGGTAGGAGGGGGCAGGCAGGATGCGAAGGCCGGGCTGCCCTGAAACATCATCGGGATGACTTTGAGATGCAGCATATGCTGGACATAGACGTCTTCTCTTTAGGCCTGTCATACACACATAAGCTCCCACGGAACACTTCCTACCTAACACAACCTCAGTGTCTGTCAGCTTCAACACCACGCCGCTCCCTCCCCAGAGCTCCCGTCCATTGCTGGCCTGGGTAGCTCCTGTTGTCTCTGGATGCCCCAGGGCCGGGTCTTGTGGGTTCCCAGTGCATCTGCAGCTCCGGAACAGGGGATCAGACCGAGGGGCACAGTCACGGGGCAGCCCTGGGAGGTCACCGTGCCATCCACATGCAGGGGAGGCGAGGGAGAGAATGGGGGTTCTGTGACCCCTGCTTTAACGCCTCGCACCCGTGGAGAGATGTGGGACTCTGCACAGCACCGCCCCCCGTCTGGAAATGGGAGCACGGGCTCCATCTCCTTTCTGAGCTACAGAACCTCGAGGACCACAGCCCTCTCCCTGCAGGTGCAGGAGGGAGGGTGGGGACAGGAAGGCAGGTTTTCTGTGCTCCCTGGAAGTGATGGCGAACAAGGCCCCGCCTGTCTGCCCCGGCTCGTTCTCCCAGGGCCTGAGCACTCGCCTTGGGGGAGATGAAATGGCTGGATTTCAGAGACAGCATCGGACTGAGGCAGGGCCGCTCTGGCTCCAGGGGTCGACACCTGGGGTGGGTTTCTTCTCCTGTCCTGTGGCACAGGGACCGGCTCACCCCGAGCTCCCCCAACACAAACTCTCTCCAAACACCGACCACGGAACTCGAGTCAACCCCTGGCGCTGTGAGGATGAGGCCAAAGTCCCCACGGGGTCTCCCGGGGTGGGGTCCCCTCTGGCTTTTGCACGAGTTTCTGATTTTTTATTTTTATTTATTTATTTATTTGTTTGTTTGTTTGTTTTTGACAGGCAGAGTGGACAGTGAGAGAGAGACAGAGAGAAAGGTCTTCCTTTTTGCCGTTGGTTCACCCTCCAATGGCCGCCACAGCTAGTGCACTGTGGCCAGCGAACCGCGCTGATCCGAAGCTAGGAGCCAGGTACTCCTCCTGGTCTCCCATTAGGTGCAGGGCCCAAGCACTTGGGCCATCCTCCACTGCACTCCTGGGCCACAGCAGAGAGCTGGCCTGGAAGAGGGGCAACCGGGACAGGATCCGGCACCCCGACCAGGACTAGAAACCAGCATGCCAGCCCCGCAAGGTGGAGGATTAGCCTAGTTAGCCGCGGCGGGGTCCCTGATTTTTTATTTTTAAATTCTGAAAATGTGAGAGGCAGAGAGAGAGTGAGCGAGCCAGCTCCATCCATTGTGTCACTCCCAGAATGCTCTGATGGCTGGGGTGAACCAGGGCCAATGCCAGGGGCCATGAGCTTTATCCACAACCCCCCACATGGGAGGCAGGAACCCAGCTGCCCAGCCGGAGACCATGGCCCCAGGACCTGCATGAGCAAGGAGCTGGAGCCCAGACGTGCAGCCGAGAATTGAACCCGGGCCTTGCATCGTGGGGCCTTTGCTTCCTCCTGAGGCCGGTTGTTCTCACTGCGGGTTCAGCTGCAGTGGGTTCTGTGCCTTTCTGTGGTCTCTCCCAGTCCCCCAGGGGTTGGGTGCCCAGCAGGGGGGCAGCTCTCTGGCAGACACTGTGGGTGTGCATGTTCCCACCCCACTAGGTCAGACTCAGCTTCATGCTCTCGTGAAGGCCGTGGGTGTTGGGTTTTCAGTACTTTGCTTCCAGATCTGCAGGTGCAGGCTCCCTGCATGTGGCCGGCTGGGGTGGTGACCGGAGCTTTTCTCTGAGGGCCGAGGGTCCTGACTGCTTTCTCTCTACAGCACCCACTCTCTTTAGTTCTGTGGAGACCTTGGTTCAAAGCCCCCTCCTCAGGGACTTGAGGCAGGGTCTCTGTTTTCTGGGAGGTGGTAAACCCCATCAGGGCCCACCTCCTGGGCAGAGTCTGCCGAGTACCCGCACTTTCACTCCCACTCGAGCCAGAAGGCTCTCAACTAAGCTTTCGTCTCCACCACTGGCTGCTTTATTTCTGTGCCCTTGAGACCAGATACTTATGGAATTGTTTCTAATGTGTCTTGTTGATGTGTGTGCACATGTGTGTGCACATTTGTATGTCTGTGTGCATTTATGTATATGTGTTTCCCAGTGTGCAGGTGTGTGTATGTGTCTGCATCTGTGTGCACGTGTGTATTTCTCTGTATATTCGTGTATGTATCTGCATCTGTGTGTATACACATGTGCATGTGTGCATGTATGTCTGCATTTGTTTGCATGCATGTCTGTTTGCATGTGTGTATGAGTGGGTCTGGGTGTGCATGTGTGTATGCGTCTCTGTGTTCTGTGTGCGCAATCTGTGCTTGTGTGTGCATGTGTGTGCACGCAGGTATTTCTGTGTCCGTGTCTCTGTGCATGGATGTGTGTGTCTGCACATGTGTGCATGCTTGTGTATATGTGTTTATGTGTCTGCATGTGTGTATGTGTGCATGTGTAAATGCATGTATGTGCGTGTGTGTCTGTGTCTGCATGTGTGTGCATGCGTGTGTGTGTGTGTTGATGGGCACAGCAGTCCTGTGCACGGCCTGAGCCAGCACTTCCTCTCACGCAGCTCTGTGCCCAGCAGAGGTCAGCACATCATGGCCCAAGGACCACAGCCAGCCTACGGCCTCTCTGTAGATGGCCCATGGTCTGAGCGTGTTTTCACATTTCTGTGTGTCTGAGACAAAATGAAAGAAGGCTATCCCGGGCCGTGTAGACATGCTGTGACACACAAACATCAGCTCTCACCTTGCTTACTGGGAATCGTCCCTGTTCCAGTGTGTGCACAGCTCATGGTTGCTCTGCTGTTCCCAAGCCCAACTGGCTCAGCTGACCTCCTGGGGGACGGCAGAGGACGTGTGCTGGAATGAGAAGGCGATGCCAAGATGGCCGCTGGCGAAAGAAACTGTCTGGCAACAGGCTGTGATTGAATGGCTTTGGAAACTGCCTGGCAACAGGCTGTGATTGGATGGCTTCAGAAACTGCCTGGCAACAGGCTGTGATTGGTTAGGGCATAGACCGCCCCTTGACTGGATTGGCTGCCTTGGCTATATAAGCTGCTGTATCCACTGAAATAAATGAGTCTGCAGGCTGCTCGCCTCTGTCCTGCTTTCACCCGACTCCCGGGGTCTGTGTGGTGACTCCGCGCCTCTTGCCCCCACCACGCTCCTCCTCCCAGAACAAATCCACAGCAACAGACGTGAGCTGAGTTTGTGAGGGGGCAAGAAGCCATTCTTGTTGCATCCTTGCCCCAGACCAGGTGCCCTCTGCTGCATTCCTACGCTGCTCTGCACACCCCTGCTGTGGACAGGGCCCTGCACAGCCAGCTGCGAGCCTCTGCCGAGGACACAGAGGGGCTGAGAGGCACCTACCTGTGACCATGAGCTCCAGGGCACCACTGGGGGCTGCCATGGTGGCTGTTGCTGTGGGTTTGTTCTGAGAGGAGGAGCGTGGTGGGGGCAAGAGGCACAGAGTTACCACACAGACCCCAGGAGTCAGGTGAAAGCAGGCCAGAGGCGAGCAGTCCACAGACTCGTTTATTTCAGTTGGTACAGCAGCTTATATAGCCGAGGCAGCCAATCCAGTCAATGGGCAGTTTATGCCCTAACCAATCACATCCTGTTGCCAGGCAGACTCCATTTCCAGGTGGCTTCCAAGGAGGCTTCCGAAGCCATTCCTGAGTAACTGACGCTCACTTGCCAGTGGCCATCTTGGTATGGCCTTCTCATACCACCACAGGTGGTGACCGCAGAGATGCAGGGGTTCCCAGGACCAGAGCCAAGGTTCCTCGGGACCCCTTGCATCAGTGCTGTGGCAGGGAGCCATTTCCCCCCCGGACGCACTGGAACTTTATCAAGAGGACGCTGGAGGAGGAAGAACATGGCAGGGAAATGTTCTGTCCTGACATAACCCCAGACCCTGATCCACAACAGGCAGGGCTTGTCACAGGAGCCTGAGAGAGAAGAGGAGAGGTCAACAAACTTTCTCCTTTTAAGGAAATCGTTGCTTTGATACAAAAGTTGTATTTCTGTATAATTGTCATGTAAACATCAAACACACAAACACACAACACAGACACGCACACACACGTGGAAGAGCTAACCCAAGCTAGATAACGTGTGCATTACCTCACAGACTTATTGTGTGCTGGGAGCATCTGACACAGTTTTAAGCAATTTCAGCTGCCCATGCCGTGAGCGTTATTAACTACAGTCGCCATGACGCACACTACTCCTCTAGACTTTCTTCTCCCACGTGATTCTGTATCTCTGCACTCTGAACTGTGGATCCCAGCACCCACGCCCTCCCCTGGTGACCACCACTCTGCTCCCCAAGTCCCTCACAGCACACACCTGAATGACTTCCCACGTACGTTCTCCTCTGTGCCTGGCTTGTTTCACTTCCACAGTATCCGCAGTGCCTCGGTTTCCTGAAAACATCCGGGTTTCACTCTTCTATGGCCGAGTCTTATTCCACTGTGGGACGCCTTGCTTCGGGCCCCATTCGCCTCGGTTGATGATGACAGTGATGTGAGCTGCACCGCAGGAACGCGGGCGTGCAGGTGTCTAAGGGTCTCCTCTCCTGTAGCTCCTCCCCTGTGCCCGACCTGCGCTAGGAGTAGGGAGCGGTGGGGGTCTGGGCCCCAGGATCCCCTCTCTGTCCCACACTGTTGCGGACAGGTGAGCCAAGGAGCCGCCCATGCGCTCAGGGAGTTGGCACCGTCGAGAAGTAAAACCAGGAAGCGGGCATGATACCAAGGGTTCGAGGGGCCAGGTGGGGCTGAAGGAGGAGCTGCCGGGTAGAGAGAAGGTTAATGGTGGACGGACCGGAAATGCCAGACGGGCTCTTCCGGAAACCTGGGAACCTCGGGCGCGAGTCTGGAGACCCCAGCCCCCTCTTAAGGAGTCCTACAGTGTTCAAATGTGCTCTTCCAGGAACCCGGGAATCTCGGGCTCGCGTCCGGAGACCCCAGGCCGCTCTTCCGTAGACCCAGGAATCCAGAGCGCTCTTCTGGAAGCCCTGCACACCCTCTTCCGGAAACTCAGAGACCCTGCACTTCTCTTCCAGAAACCACAGACGGGCTCCTCCAGAAAGCAGGGGTCCCAGATGCCCCCTTCGATACACGGGCTAGGCTGACCTTGGTTTAGAGCTACAGTGGAGGCATGGCTGGAGCAGGTGCGTTGCGCTCTACTTCTCAGGTGTCCGTTGCATGTAGACTTCCTTCCACACAGAAAGTGCCAGGGAAGAAGGAGGACGCTCCCTTGGGAACCAGGTGCCCCAGATCCGCAGCAGCAGCCACACTCATTTAGTGAAATACGCCTTCCCAGGAATCCAGTGTAAGTTCTCTCTTCCACGCAGAAGTTGGAAAAGTTGGTCTCATAGTAGCAGAGTAGGATGGTGACCACTATCGCTGAAAAGGGTCTGGGGGAGAGATGAGGGAGGTTTGGTCCCCGGGTCCCAAGGTGGAGTCAGATAGAGGAACGGCTCTGTCTGCACAGCACAGGAGGCACCCATGGCTCACATAACCTGTTGAGTGTTTCTATAAAGAACTCGAGGAGAGGAGCTGGGCCCAAACACAAGACATGACGAGATGGGAACACCCTGGTGTGATCAGCACACCCTCAAATACTACGCTGCACCTTCCAAATTATTACGTGTTCATTTAAAGGAAAAAATAGGTGGCAAAAATGGTATCTGTGTCTTCCTCCTTTGTCGAGCTGAAATTCACAGAGCACAGATTACAGACCTAACAGAAATTTAATTCATGCTGTAGCTACCTCTCACATTCACTGTGTTGTGTACCCACCAGCACCTGTCACAAACATCTTCATTAACAGAGACAGAAACCCCAGACCCACTCAGCAGGCACCTGCACGCTCCCTCCCCACACCCGAGTCCACATTCTGCCCTCTGAATCTGCACCCCCGGGCACCTCTCAGAGCAGAATCAGACCATTGTCTCTTTGTGACACCGGCTGATTTCTCCACGATTATCCAGACCCTCCTTCTTTTCTAACAGGAGAGTATCAGCCGTGTCTACAAATACTGCCTGTTGTGGACACACTCACCTGTTGTGCTTCTTCTGGTTGCTGGCATCTTTGGGCTCATGTGAATGAGGCTGCTATGAACCCGTGGATGCAAAACCTTCTTGGGTTCCTGCTTCAATCCCTGTGGTTATATGCAGGAGAGGAATTGTTGGATTGGATGGTAATTCCAAGGAACCATGTTTCCTTCTTTAGTGTGCTGAAATTCAAATAACATAAAACCAGCCCTTTAAAGTGTATTATTTGCTGACTTGTAGTACATTACCAATGTTGTACACCATTAACTTTTTAAAAACATATATTTTATTTATTTGAAAGAGTTACAGAGCTAGATACAGACCGAGAGAGAGAGAGAGAGAGAGAGAGAGAGAGAGAAAGTCTTCCATCTGCTGGTTCACTCCCCAGATGGATTGACCCCGCCCACCCTGAAATCTATTTCGCTCGTTTATTCTGTTACTTGGCGCAAGCTCCCTGTTGTTGGCTGAAACGCGGATTCCCACGCATGCGCACTGGGAACTGAATTCACCAGAAACAGAGCAAAAGGCTCCATGAAGAAAGAGCTAAGTGCGAGGCGCACATTTGGTCTGCAGGGGGTGCTCTCGCACCTCAGGGCAGGAGAAGTCCATGGCTGAATAGAGGAAGAGCCCCTGCTGCCCCCAGACAGTTCCCGCAACCGAATGCTGGAAGACTGTTCCCCACTGTGCTCACGCTCCCCCCTGCCCCGCCCCCAGGGCTCGTCCTCTCTGACCCAGCGCTGTGCTCTCTCCAGGTCACTGCCGGCCTGCAGCCCGGGTCCTTCTGTGGCTGTACCAAGCCTCCGCCAGCAGAAGCCCGAGGCCCAGCAGGACCAAGCCCGCCACGCCCATGCGGATGAGGTTCTCCAGGGTGTGGTCCTGGGGTGCTGGGGCTGGGGGTGTGCACGGAGGGGTCACCTAGGCTGGCCAGCCCCAGTAACAGAGGACCCCACCTCCCCGCAGCAGCCTGAGCCCAGGGCTGCACATCTTTGTGTCTAGGGAGTCCCCTTGCCCAGCGTGGGCTTTGTGAGAGGCCTGTGCACCCAGCCCAGTTCCCTTCCCAACACCCCTGTTCCATCCACTCCACTTCCCACACAAACCCTGTGCCACACAGGGTGACCCGGGCCCCAGGGCTGAGACCTCTGCTGTTTCTCACTCCCTGTGACCTCCCCCAGGTCCCCTCCCCCAGCCCAGTCCTCCTGTGGGGACAGCCCTGCACTGACCATGAGGACTGATGAGACAGGGCTGGGGCCCTCACCTGACACCTCCAGCTGCAGGGGGTCACTGGGAAGTGACCACACACGGGTCTTGTTGGTGTCAGCACGGTAGCACCTGTAGATGCCCCTTTGGGTGCTGTCCACGGGGCCCAGGAGGAAGGTGGCCTGCCACAGCCCAGCCCCATGGGAGTATCTGGCTTCCAGGCTGTGCAGGGGGCCGGCTCCACCCTCCTTCAGCAGATGGGCAGTGCCCGCCTCATCTGAGCCACAGGAGAGGGACACGTTCTCTCCTGACGCCACCACGGGGCTTGGCTGGGCCGACAGGGAGGGCGCCGGGAACATCCCTGCAGGGGAAGCAAACCAATGTCTGGGCTGCTGCTCCGTGAAGTCCATGTTTCTTCTTCTGTGGGCAGGGGAAATACCTTACCCGTCACCACCAGGGTCAGGGGGTCACTGGGCTGGGAGTGGCCGAGCGAGGTCCAATACACACAACAGTACTGCCCTGTGTCATGGGAGCTCATGGACGTGATCACGGAGAAGCTGGCCTTGTGTCTGGAGTCCTGCTGGGGCCTCGTTTCCCAGGGATGACGGCCACTCTCTGTATACATATGATAGACCTCAGCCTGCAGAGACCCCTGGCACCAGAGGGTCACAGGGCTTCCTACGGCGACCAGGGGGCCTGGGTCGGCCCAGATGGAAGGCTTGGGGAGGGTCCCTGGAAAGGAATCAAAGTTGCAGACCCCGGGTGCAGCCTCTCTCCCACCCCATTCCCCAGCTCCACTCCCAGCCCCTCCCAGCCATCACCATCAGCCCAGCCCCCCTGGGCTCCTTAACATGAGCTGTCTGGAGCCCCCGGGACTGAGCCAGGTCAGGGGAGGACTCACCCGCCTGTGCCCCATCCCCTGGCACCCGGCACAGCCCTGGAAGAGAAGTCCCCGTGAGAGCTGCTCCCCACTCCCCACCCCTGCAGAGATGCCCAGGCCTGCCCTGGTCCTCTGAGCCCTGGGGTCCCAGCTGGAGCAGGGCGCTGTCCCCTCCCGCACCTGTAGGGGTCCCATTGTCCCCGTGTCCCCAGCTCACCCAGGCAGAGGAGGGCAGTGAGGGCTGGGGTCTGGGCCCCGCCGCCCATGGTCCCTGTGGAGCAGAGTAGCTGTGAGGGGCGCAGGCCCAGAGTCCGGCTGGAGATGAGTGGGGAGACGTCATGGGTTCCTCATCTGTGGCCTCACAGGAACGGGGGCAGCCCCTCCCCGATCTCCCCCACTGTCCCTGAGGACGGGGCCCAGGAAACAGCGGACACTAGGGACAGCTAGGACCAGGCCTCCGCCTCTGCTGCCCCCTGTGCTGTGACTGCCCGGCCTCCCTCCCCTACTCCAGCCCCACCCCTCCAGGAGTCCACTCTCTGTCCAGTTAGGGTTCTGGTTCTCTCTGCACAGGCCGGGTGGCCGAGACACGCACTTCCCTTTCCTGAGCGGTTGAGTGCAGTTGTGGGGGCTGGGGCGGGGGGAGGGGAGTGGGGAGGGCTGGATCCTGTGGGGAGGGTGACAATCTTCAGGCCTCTCAGAGCTGATGAGAGCAGATGAAGATGGCAGACGCTGCAGAGGTGTGGCTGAGCTGCAGGCCATCTGTGTCTGTGGCAGGTGCAGGAGGGCCCACAACAGGGGACACGGGTCTGGGTAGGGTCCTGCTGGTGGCTGGTGGGCTTGGGTCCCTGCTAGGGGCTTGAGGAGGGAGGGTGTCTTGGAGCACAGGCCCCAAGCTCCTCTGGGAACTGAGAGCATGGGATACCCTGGCCCCGGGCCAGCTGGTGACCCATGCCCCACACCCTGTGCTGGGATTCTCTGATTGAGGGGGACTTGGAGCAGGGGACTGGGCTCGTGTGGAACCACACTCCACGTGGGGCTGGGGATCCCCGGCACCTGTGTCCTGAGCCCCCCACGGCCTCTCCTCCCCTGATCTGAGCACCTGGGCTCCGTGCTCCTGGATGACATGGGGGTGCCGCTTCCTGAGCGACCTGAACAGGTAACGTCGTCCCCCAGCGTCTCTGTGGTGGGGATGCCCGAGACCTCCCCTCTGGTGGCTGTGGCTGCAGCACTCCGGTCTCAGGGTCCTGCAGTGTCCCTTCCAGATTCAGACGTGGGGACAGCACCGTTCTGGTAGGCACCCCTCCTCAGAAGTCCCTAGGAGCGCCCGCTGACCCCAGAGATGAATCAGAAGCGGTCCCGGGTCCCACACAGAATGGAAGACCCCATCCTCAGCCATGTTTGGGGGTGGAGCTCTCAGCTGCCTGCTCTGGGGTGGGGGCCCCATGAGAGAACGCACGGTGGCTCATCACATCCTCGGGTGGCAAGGCACTGACAGGCATCTGTCCTTTCCTTAGCCCTGCGTCTGGTTGAGAGGACGTCCCCCTCCCAGAAACAGGAGCTGGCAAAGCGTGCATGCAGTGGGGTGCACAGCAGAGACGCAGAAATGCAGCGACCCCCTCTGGCCTCCACAGCCCTGCACAACCCCAGGGCTCTGTGGGCTTCCAGCCCTGGGTGTTTCTGGGAAGGGTGCTATGTGAGGCCCATTGTGTGTGGCTGTGCCCCTAATCCCCACACATCCTCACTTCACGGCTTCCTGGGGCTCATCAGAGTTCCTACGGAGCCAGGGACCCACCTCCCTGAGCCCGGCATCCCCGGTGCACATCTGGCTCCTGTCCCTGGCCGGCCGTGCTTGGACGGATGCCTGTGTGCACAGTCCCTGGGTGGTTGTCAGGGCCTCCCCCTGGCCCTCGGTGGTGAGAACGCTCCACGGAGCCTGCACTCAGCACACTGGTGAGCGCTGTGCCTGACCCTGACCCTTGCCAGGATGTGGGTCAACGGGAGCAACTGACTCCATGCAGGGGGTGGGTTGCTCTGTGCTGTGCTGACGCTGGGTGTGGTGCTTTGAGGAACTATGAGCCTCTTGCCACACTGGCCAAACCCTGCACATTCCAGCCGCGTCTCAGGGCTGCGATTTCCCCACACTCTGACCACACTCTGCCTACTGTGTCCTCGAGAAGTGACCTGTGAGGTGGCGTGGGGGGTGCCTCTCTCTGGCATTATTTGCACTTCCCTTCCCTTGTGCTGAGTGAGTTGCACCCTTGCTTTTCCTACTGTGGCTTCCAGATCTGCATCCAATGTGTTCGTTGTCTTCCTGTTCCCTTCATAGCTGTCCACGGTGCACAGAGTTCTGAAGTTTTGAGGATGATCAATGCAGCCATTTTCCTGTTTGTTCCTCATACTTTCAGAATCACAGCTAAGACGCTGTGATGAGGTCATATTTACCCAGGTATTTCCTTCTAGGAGTGTTTAAAAATTTTTTTGTAAACTCTGATTTATTTATTCGAGAGGTAGGGACAGAGAGGAGAGACAGCAACAGAGATTTGCCACCTTCTGGCTCACTCCCCAGATGGCTGGGCCAGGCTGAAGCCAGGAGCTTCTTTTGGGTCTCCCACGTGGGTGCAGGGCCCCAAGCATTTGGGCCATCCTCTGCTGCTTTCCCAGGGGCATTAGCAGGGAGCTGGATCAGAAGTGGGGCAACTGAGATTGGAACTGGTGGTCATATGGGATGCCGGCGCTGCAGCTGTTGGCTTTACTCCCTCAGCTACGCTGTGGTGGGGTGGGGTCCCAGCCCATAACTGGAAACACTGGTGCAGAATCCACAGCGCTCTCTCAATCCCACCTCCCTGAACTCTGTGGGAAACGCAGACTTGCACCACATGGACAAGCAGAGTAACCAGCCACCAGAGGAAGCCGGGCAGGCATCCGCACTCTTCCAGAACACCGGGTGCTGCCGTCCGCCAGAACCGCCGTGTTGTGGGGTTTATGTTAGTTGTGCATTGAGAAATCCAGATGACCTTGAACTTCCCGTGCCTGAAGAAACCCTGCACACACTTTCTTTCACTTCTGTGTGGTCCTCTCAGAGGGTGGATTCCCACGGTCATCTGGGATTTTACCTTAGAGTTTGATAAGCCACACGTTTTTAAAAATATTTATTTAAAAATCAGAGTTACAGAGAGAAGGAGAGAGAGGTATCCATCTGCTGGTTTCATCCCAATGGGTCCTCACAGCTGGAGCTTGTCTGATCTCCAGCCAGGAGCCAGGAGCCAGGAGCCAGGAGCTTCTTCTGGGTCTACCACATGGATGCAGGGGCCCAAACACTTGGGCCATCTTCTACTGCTTTCCCAGGCCATAGCAGAGAGCTGGATTGGACGTGGGGCAGCCAGGACTTGAACCGGTGCCCACAGGGGATGCCGGCACCTCAGGCAGCAGCTTTTATCCATTAAGCCACAGCACCAGCCCAGATCTATTGATTCTGACCTCCCACTTCTCGCCCCACCTGTCATGGCCTCCTTTCGGTGAGCAGAATTTTAAACCCATCTTGAGTGACAGGTGTCCCACCACATCCTGGCCCACTTGCTGAAGGTCAAGGGGAGCAAATCCTGGCGTTCCCCTCTCCGTGGGCGGCAGGGCCCGGGCTCCTGTGGAGACTCAGGGCCACTGAGCTGTGTGCGGTCCCTGGAGAGGAACAGGACAGAACCCCACGGGAGCCTGCAGGGCGGTGGGTAGGGCGGCGGGAGGCCAGAGCCCCTTCCCAGAATGCGCATGGGAGCCCAGGAAAGCAGCACCACCAGCGTCCCACCAGGGTCCCTGCCCCTGAGCAGGATTCCCACAACCCCAGGTGAGCTCCGCCCACTTCCCACAGCTTCTCACCATGCATGCCCAGATCCCCCCTCCCCCTCCCCCTCTCTGACCCAGCTCTGTCCTCTCTCCAGGTCACCACTGGCCTGCAGCCCAGGTCCTTCTCTGGCTGTACCAAGCCTCTGCCAGCAGAAGCCCGAGGCCCAGCAGGACCAAGCCCGCCACGCCCATGCGGATGAGGTTCTCCAGGGAGTGGTCCTGGGGCGCTGGGGCTGGGGGTGTGCACGGAGGGGTCATCAGGCCGGCCAGCCCCAGTGACCCAGGACCCCCTACTCCCCGCAGTAGCCTGAGCCCTGGGTCAGGCCTGTAGCTCACTCACCAGCGGGGGAGCCTGGCTGGGGGTGCGAGGGGCTGCTGGGCTCCGGTCCTCCTGAGAACAGGCATAGGACAGTGAGGAGGAGGAGACCCCGGCCTGCTCCACACTCTGTGCTTCCCAGCCTCTCGTCTCGCGACGCAGTTCAGCGTGGTCCTCAGCTGAGTCGCCCACACATCACTCTGTGTTCTGGAGCCGCCAGGGAGCTCCGCAGGGGAGAGACATGTGGCAGCCAAGCCTGGCGAGCCTCTCCCTACAGGAGCAGGTCCCGGGCCCACCCTGGGCCATGACCAGGCCCCACTGGGCTCGATAGTCTCTGTCCTACTCTAACAGACACCCCGGGGTGTGAGGCCCGTCCTGGGTGGGTCCTGTAGAGTTCTGCAATGCTTGCCCGCTGTGGGAGCCCGGCCTGGGGCTGCCGGCCAGGGCGCTGGGCAGACTCCTTCAGGCCCTCTGCAGGGACCACTGAGGGCCCTGCTGGGTCAGGAGGGAAGAGGGGCGGGGTTGCACACTGGCTCCGCCCACACCCTATCCCTCCTGCCCTGCAGTTCCACCACCCTCACTCTGGGTGTCTGGCCCAGGAACCCCAGGCCCCTTGCCCAGTTCCCATCTATGCCTCCTCTCAGTGTCTCCGTGACCTACCCAGCTCCTGCTCAGGCTGTGGCTTCCTCACCTGTCACCCCCAGCTCCAGGGCGTCACTGGGCTCTGACCACACAGAAGGATTCTCCCTGTAGGAGCCATAGCATCGGAACGCCCACCTGCGACCGGGAGTCACAGGGCCCACAGGGAACAGGGCCTGGGACTGCGCACTAGGGTGTGGCTCTGAGCTCCGGGTCCTGGCAGCCCAGGGCGCCCCCTCCTCTGTCAGAATGAACCTGTGGAATCCCAGCTGGGAGCGGCACTGGAGGGTCACATTGCCCCCTGAGGTCACCACAGGGCTGGGCAGGGCTGAGAGGCTGGGCTTGCCGTAGGCTCCTGGGAGAGGAGGAGCAGTCATGTGAAGCAGGGCTCACCCCCCACGGTACCCCCAGTGCTGCGCTATGAGAGGGGGACCCCTGGGAGCAGACCCCTCCTTGAGGGCACAGCCTGTGGGGCTGGGACCCTGCGTGACCCTCACCTGACACCCGCAGCTCCAGGGCGGCACTGGGCTCTGACCAGCCAGCAGCGCTGAGGCAGACACAGCTGTAGCGCCCCGCGTACACCTCAGCCATGAGAGGGATGGAGAACTTGACCTTGTTTCCGGGCTCCAGGGGCATCGCTCTGTCCCAGGGCTCTGGGATTCCCTCTCTATACAGACGGCACTCCTGGGCCTCCAGGGTCCCCTGACACCACAGGGTCCCAGGCCTGCCCAGGGCGATCACAGAGCCTGGCTCAGCCCGGAGGCTGGGTCTGGGGAGGGTGCCTGGAAGGCAACCAGAGGCTGGGTCCCAGGACCACGTCCCCTCGCAGGCCAGGACCCTCCCAGACGCCCTCCTCACCAGACAGGGCTGCTGTCCCCACCCCAGCTGCCCGGGGTGGCCCTTGTCCCATGGCGGGGGAGGGGACCGGCACAGTGGGGGCACGCTCACCTGCCTGCACTCGGGTCCTGGGCCCGCACAGCCCTGGAGGAGAGCTCCCCGTGAGAGGTTTCCCCTGCCCCTGCGCAGGTCCTCTCCTCCCCCGGGGCTCCTGAGCCTGGGGTCTCCAGGGAGCAGGGCCTGGCTGTGGGCGGGGGAGGGGTCCCTCCCAGAGCAGGGTCTCCCCTCCCTGTCTTCCTGTCTCCCCAGGCAGAGCAGGACCAGGAGGGCGGGGTCATGGCGTCCTCTCCACCGGCCCCGGCACAGCGCCCGCGGCAGGGACACACACCGGGTGTGGACGCTCGGAGGCCGGGTCCTCCCAGCATCGCAGGGCTGTTCCGCCCGCAGCCCACAGGAAGGGGCAGCGCCCCCACCCCAGCCAGGCCCTCAGTCCCCAGGATGGGGGCACAGGCGCCCTGCAGGGATGGGGCCCCGCCCCGCCCTGTCAGCCGGCTCCGCCCTCCTCTCCCAGGGCCAGGACCCAGCACCAAGGACACGGGCCTCCCGGAGCCGCCCCTCAGGTGGGCTGATGCGCCCCGGGGTGGGGTCGTCCCCGCCCTCAGCCCCTCCTGTGGGGTCGCAGCCCGGCCACTTCCGGAGGACGCAGGTGGGCACAGACCCGCTCCCGCCCGGCCCGGAGGTCCCGGGGCCCGACCCAGGGCGGGGGAGGCCCGGACGCCCCCTCCGCCGCGGACGCCGCTCCCACGCCCCTCAGCCACAGCTTCCCCTGACCCGACCACCCCGCTGCGGGGCCCTGAGGCCTCCCAGGACCTGCGCCGCCCCCTCCCTGCCGCCTGCCCTGACTCCCGGGGGAGGCGCCCTCACTGCGTCCCCTCACACACCCCTCTGCCCTGAGCCTCAGCTTCCCCGTGTGGGCGGACACGGACTCACCTGAGGCGGCCTCGCGCACACGCACACCGACTCTGGACTGCGCATGCGTATGCTGCTGCACTTGCGCAGATGCCAACCGACACGGGACTGCTCACACACTTACACATGACTGCGCAGGCGCAGATGGACATGCGGCGCTCAGACTCTGCTGAGGGCGCGTGGTTGCCGCTGTCTCCGTAGAGGAAGAGTGCGGGTCCTGGTAGGAAACGTGAACCGTGACTGCTGCTCTGCGTGGCCCTGCTAGTCCTCGCCGGAGCAGGTGGGCGAGAAGAAGCCACAGAAGCATCCGAATTGGGAAGGAAGAAGCCATGTCGGTTCTCTTGGCTGATGACGTCATCTTACCTAAGACTACCTCTGTTTGCTGATGACGTCATCTTACCTAAAGACAACCCAACGTCTCAACCAGAAACTTCCCTCACTGGTCACCGTCAGGTCGCAGGATCGCGGTCCACACACGAACTCCCGTCAGCGCTCCAAGGGAGATCCACACAGCTCCACTTAGCAGAGCCCAGACCTCCAGCAGCCTGGAGTAAAACAAAACTCATGATTTACATGGAAACACAAAAGCCCAAATATTGAAACCACCCTGAGACTAAAGCCCCAAGCCGAGGTGTCTCACAGTCTGATTCAAGACACACGACTTAGCTGCGGTGTCCACACAGCATGGCAGCAAATACGAACACACGGGGACACTGGGACAGCAGAGAGAACGCAGACGGACGGTCACTGTTACAGTCTACTGGTTTCTACAAGGGCATCGAGAACGCACACTGGGGAAGGAGAGGACCTGTGGTGTGCTTTGAAAACTGTTTCCATCTGCAGAAGACGGAATGACACCCCTGTCCATCGTGTGTGCAAAACCATGGCATTTTTATTGTTAGCCACCAAGGATGAATACATGTTTGAGGACTTAGATATGCTCCCTCTGGTCCGCATACAGACGTGGGTCAAAACATGACACGTATAAGTAATATTGGGTCACTTAAATATCTTTAGGTCTTACCACAATCATTTTAAATTATGTGAAAGGGAACTACGTGAAACCTGAGATAATGAAACTCCTTTTAGAAAACAGAGGGGAGCCCCGTGACGACGTCTGGGCAGTGATTGGTTGGTTGTAGCCACAGGAGCACAGACAACAGAAGCAAAATCCCACGAGTGGAGGAGGTCAATGCGGGGCAGCTGCTGGCGAAGCTGGCATCCCAGTCAGAGTTCTGGCTTCCGGCCTGGCTGCCTCGCTTCAGACCCAGCGTCTGGCTGATGGGCCTGGGAAGGGAGCAGGAGACAGCATAGACTCGGGCCCTGGCACCCGCGAGGAAGCAGGATGGAGCTCCAGGCCCCTGGCTGAGCATGCGCTGTTGCAGCATTTTGGGGGGCTGAGTCACAGAAGGAGGATTCCTTCCCCCCTCTCTCTCTGCCTTCATATAAATAAATGATAGATTTTTAAAAAATGGAATAATTTCAATTAAAACGTGCTTCACAGCAAAGGAACGGTCAGGAGAAGCAGAGGGAGACCCAGAGTGTGGAGAAAATATTCGCAGGTCACGCAGCTGTTAAGGGTTCACCTCAAAATACAGAAGGAATTCAGCAACTCATGCCAAGAAACACGCTGCGCATGGGGGCAGTGGGCAAAGGACTTGCATTGACGTTCCGGAGAGAAGATGTGATGACTGACAGGAGGATGCAGAATCTCCCAGACAAAACAGCTTTGTCTGTGTCTGATGAGCTGTGACTTCTGGTAATGTATCGAACGCCATCGATTCTTTAGTATCAAGCGACCGGTGCCTGCCTTCACCACCACCAACCAACCGGTGTGCTCATGTCCCCTGCATTCCCCTTTCCGTATAGGAACCAGAACTCTTTGTGAGCATTTTCTTGGGAGTCTAAATTTATGGGAGCATCCATCCCAGGATTTCCCCATCTGACTGTTTCCGTCTTCGGTTTTGATAGCACTCTCTCCTTGCCTGATAAAACATTCTTTTTCCTGTCCTCGGGAACAGTGTATGTAAATTTGGGAGTGTGTGGGCAGTATTTGTATGTGTGTTTCCTACCTGCATAAATATATGTGAGGAATTCCCATGAAGCTTTGCAGCCTGGCGTTTAGACTGAGGGAGAATGTTGGATTCCCGAGTCACGGCATTGTCAGGTGTCAGGGCACGTTTTGGTCAGCCACAGTCGCCTGTACGCCGGCGCTCCCAACGTTCTAATGAAGCTGACAGCTGCCGACCTCATGGTACTGTTGCTGCGCGGCTTCTGGGGGCAGAGTCCTAGATACGCAGATCTGCACCACTGCAGGAGGACGCCCGGCCCCCGGTGGATATTCTCATAGGAATACAGCAGCGAGCTCTGCCGTTCCCAGCCCAGGAGTGAACGGCAGAGTTCAGAGCCCAGAGTGAAGTAGGTGCCATTCTGCAGGTGTGTGCCGGGACTCCTTGATGTCCCGTGACCAGACTCACCCGGCACAGGGTTCCTAGAGCCGAGTCCCACCAGTACAGGACATGTGGGTGGATTTACTGCATCTTCCTATTACCATGAGTTCGGTTCCTTTTATTTATTTGTTAAAGATTTATTTATCTTTATATTTGAAAGGCAGAGTTACCGGTGTGAGGGCGGGGGATGTGATCTTCCGTCCACTGGTCCACTCCACAGAGGGCTGCAGTGGTTACGGGATGCCGGCGCTTCAGGCCAGGGCGTTAAACTGCTGTGCCACAGCGCCAGTCTCTCCAATCAATTTTATACTAAGACCAACTCTATACTAAGTAAATATTTCAACAATTTGCACACACACATGCACACACAGTGTGGAGAACTAGTTTTACAGTTAATTCTTATAATACAACTCATGAAGATCAGAGGTCCTGCATGGGGAGTTAGTGCACAGTGTTTCCTGTTGTTGATTTAACAATTAACACTCTTATGTATGACTCAAGTGAATACCCGAGGCCTCTGACATGAGCTGCCTTGGCTATGAGAGCCTTTTGGAGGCCAGCGCTGTGGCATAGTGGGTTAGGCCACTGCCTGCAGTGCTGGCATTCCATATAGATGCCAGTTTGAGACCCACCCGGCTTCTCCACTTCTGATCCAGCTCTCTGTCATGGCCTGGGAAAGCAGTAGAAGATGGCCCAAGTCCTTGGGCCCTGCACCTGTATGGGAGACCCAGAAGAAGCTCCTGGCTCTTGGCTTCGGATCAGTGCAGCTCCAGCCATTGCAGCCAATTGGGAAGTGAACCAGTGGATGGAAGACCTCTCGCTCTCTCTGCCTCTCCTTCTATATCCGTGTAACTCTGACTTTCAAATAAATAAATAATCTTTTTTTTTTTAAAAAAAGAAAGCCTTTTGAGTCCGCAAACTGTCCATATTTAGACAGGGCCATGAGCAAAGTGGGAGAGCTCTCCTCCCTTCAGAGAAAGGCACATCCTTCTTTGATGGCGCATTCTTTCCACCGGGATCTCACCCACAGAGATCCTTCATGTAGGTCATTTTTTGCTTCATTGTCAGTTCTCAGAACCATGCAGTGTTCACTCCTCCTGTGATGGCCCGCGTCCCTGAGGTTGCCCTGTGTCTGCCAGACAGGGTTTCAGCTGCTGCACACAGAGAACAGCTCCTGCTACAGAGGGGAAAGGGACTGGATGGGCATCTCTCACGCAGAGAATAGAGCCTGCTACAGAGGGGAGAGGGAATAGATGGGCGTCTCTCTCGCAGAGAACAGAGCCTGCTACAGAGGGGAGTGGGACTGGACGGGCATCTCTCACACAGAATCAAGCAGCCACAGGGAGGGAGAGGATGCCAGCACTAGGGGAGCCACTGAATCCCACCCTACCGCTACTGTGGGCGAGGGCATGTGTGCCAGCATGAGTGCGGAGGAGAGGGAAGCCTCGGGCGCTGCAGAGGGGACATGGGATGGCGCATCTGCTTCGGGAAAGAGCTTGCAGCTTCCTGCAAGAATTTAAGTGGGACCACGCTCGGACTCCCCAATCCCATTCTGGGCGCTGAGATCAAGGGGTTGGCGCTGGATGCAGCAGGTGAAGCCGCCGCCTACGATACCAGCATCCTGTACCAGAGCTCGGGGAGGGGTCCTGGCTGCTCCACTTCCAGTGCAACTGACTGGAAGCCAGGAGCTTCTTCCGGGTCTCCTGTGTGGGTGCAGGAGCCCCAGCACTTGGGCCATCCTCTGCTGCTTCCCCCAGCTGCATAGCAGGGAGCTGGACTGCAGGCAGAGAGGCTGAGACTCCTACTGGTGCTGCACTGTGGGGCGCTGGTATCACAGCTGGCGGCTTTAACCTGGGCCACGACCCCGTCTCCAGGCCCCACATTCTTTAACCAGTCAAGGCTCATAAAGCTACCGCCCAGGAACACTCCCCAGGAGGGTGCAGGCTAACCCCAAACAAGCAAGGCCTAGACCGCACGCCCCACGGTGGCTCCATGCTGGCCATTCACTCCCCAGGGACTGCCTCTGTGTCTCCGCCCTCCTCCCAACATGCAGGTCACAGGTGCAAAGTGACCGGATCCTGTGAGCAGGAGGAGGGAGTGCCGGTGGCCTTGGCCAGGGCAGCCTGCTCCTTCTCACTCTGTGTAGATGAGAGGCTCAGAGCAGATGGTTCTGAGGACATGGCCAGGAACCTGAGATGCAGCTCTCCTGCTGCGGCCTGAGCTCGGAGAAGCACGCAGCCTCCAGGGAGTGGGTGAGGCCCAGCCCCCGGTGGCCACCAGCCTGAGAGGAGGGCGATACAGGTGCAAATGGGCGGGGAGCTTGGCGGGCAGGCCAATGGGGGGTCACTGTGGATGCGGGCATAGTTCCTGGCTTCCTGCTTGCCCATCGGGAGGGTCCTGAGCTTGGGGGGCTTCTGGGGCGGTGCTGCCCTCCAGCACCCACGTGTGCGCCTGTCCACAGCCCGGAGTGCCCCCGAGCCCTGGGCTGGATTTCCCAGGCGCTTCCTGCGGTGGGCGCGTTGTGACCACCCCAGCCTCTGTGCCCTCTCGGAGGTCGGGACTGGAAGGTCCACGCGCGAGCAAGGAGGGCCCAGCGTGCCGTGGCTCCTCAGGCTTTGCAGACCCCGCCGTCAACCTCTCCCGCGTGGGAGACGAGGAGACGGCCTCTCCCCCGCCGGCTCTGGAGCTGTCCCAGACTCGAGAGCAGACGCCACCCGGTGAGCGAAAGGTTCCTCCCAGCGCCTCAGAAACCTCAGGGTGCGGGAGACAGAGTCACTGAGAGCCGAGCGCCCATTGGCTACCTCTCACCATGGCCGCATATACCCACAATACCCCGGGCGGCCTGGGGGGTGGGGTTGTACCTCAGCCTCACCCCCGAACTAGGAAGGCGGGGTCTGAGGGCAGGCCAAGGTGCTGTCAGCAGGTCTCATAGCAACGGCTGAGCCCACCTCCTGTTAAAGATGGGACGAGCTCATTCGGCCCCTGAGCAGGAAGTCCTGCCCCCTCCTGCGTCCTGGGAGCCAATCACAGAGCTCGGGGGAAGTCCACTTCCTTTTCCCTGACCATGCGCAGGCCGGAAGTCAATCCTAACCTGAAGGAAGTTTGTCTTCTAAGTTGAGCGTGGTTGCTGTTGGGCGTTTCTGGCCGTCCATGTTCGCTCTGGGGCTTCTGGGAGGATTTTCTGGGTCTTGGAGCAGAACTGCCTTTGTAAGCGCCGGTTAGGAGAGGAGGCTGCCAGCGACTCTATGCAATGTTCTTTCCCTTCTAATATTTTCTAAGGAGCTTCATTAAATATAACTTATATCCCATAGAACCTACCCTGCACAGTGCTGACCCACAGAGCAGGTCTGTCACCCGTCAGCATCCCTTGGGCCCCCCGTGGAGACCTGCCCACCCCACCCCAGTGATTTGGGAGGAGGGGCTGCCCTCGCTCAGCCTCGAGCTGCCGGAGGCACTCAGGTGCCAGTCATGGAGGCTAAGGCTGGGCCGCATGGCTCACAGTTTATCGTCTGGTGTCCAGCCCCACCGTGTGCCTGCAGACACAGCCTGGGGCCACTGCAGAGCCACCTGCTGCTGCCGCTCCGTGTGGCAGGGCCAGAACCCGCCGCCTCCAGCTGGGCCTTTGCCCTTCATTCTGGGTGGGATCAGCCCCGAGGTCGTGCTCAGAGAGAATGGCCTTGGCCAGAGGGAGGGTCCTCTCAGGGAGGACCCTGTGTGCTCCTTGCTGCCATGGCTCCCTGCACGCAAAGGCCTGGCAGTGGGAACCGGAAGCATCTGACCCTGTGAGCACCGGAGGTTAATTAAAATCCCCCACCAGCGATCATATCCGGGTGACGGGGAGGCACAGGGAGGGAGGACTCAGTGGCTGTCCACGGGGCGGCTCTGGGGCAGACCAGGAAACCAGTGCTCCCCAGATCCTATGCCCATGGCTTGTCTTTGCTAGACCGAAAGAAGCCTTTGGGATCTTGAGCAAAACAGCCTACGGGCCGGGACGCTTCGGGTCCGTGGGCTCAGCAGGGGTGGTCTTTGCCACCTGTGGGACACCGGGTGGTGCTTGGGGATGCTTGTGGGCTGCTGCTCCCCACGCCTCAGTGCACAGAAGGCCCTGGCCAAAACCACACCACACGGAAGGTTCCAGAAACCCTGTTATAGAATGTGACAGTGGTCCTCAACCAGGGACACTTCTGCTCCCTAGGGGGACACTGTTGGAGACAGGTTTTGTGGCAAAACAGGACGGGTTTGGGGTCCCGAGCTGTGGTCTCAGCATGAGGAGAGGAGGGAGGCCCCGGACTCAGGGAGTCCCAGGGTCCATCCCTCACCCTGGGTGATCATCACTGGACTTCCAGGGTAGCAGCTAAACGAGCCTCTGTCCGTCACCCAGCCTGTGGCACTCGGGTACAGCGGTGGGAAAGAGACTGGGGGGGTACCCCACAGGCCAAGGGAGGGAGAGATCAGGATAAAGCCCATGATGGGAAGCAGCCCTGAAGCGACCTCAAATGGTTCACGGAAACCCAAACTGCGTTCTGAGTGTGCGTGAAGTTTCAGCCGCAGCCTTGCTATGGAGGACAGGGCTGTTTGCTTTGTCAGGGGAGACCAGAGTGGGGCAGTGGTGGCCGAGCAGGTGCACACGCCAAGGAGCGGATCTGCCTCAGCAGGCCATCACCTCCACCCCCGCCCCCCACTCCGTGCAGGTGACCCCCGCTCTGCGGCACAGCACAGACGTCGCAGTCCATGCCGGCCTGGGCGTGGCAGGCTCCCTCCTGGGTCCTCCACCTGCAGAGCCAGTCTTCAGCCAGGAGCCACGTCAGAGCCACCAGGACCAGGACAGCCAGGCCGATCCGCAGGAGGTTCTGGGCGGTGTGATCCCAGGCGGCTGGGGCTGGGGCAGAGGGGCCGCTGATGGGATGCCCCACTGCACCCACCCGCTCCTCTCCCCTCACCTCCCAGACCTTCCTCCTGCCCCCACCCCGCATGAGCCCCGCTACTCACCGTCCTGGACTCTAGACACTGTGGTTCCGAGACGCGGTTCCCGAGAGCCTGCTGTGGGAAGGGAGGGTCGGCTTTGGCTTCAGCCTACCCAGCCTCTCCTTCCTCATCCCAGCCCCGCCACACCCCGCGGCTGTCCAAGTCTCCACCCCATGCCTCACAGGGGTCCCAGCGACCTCACCCCGCGGGCAGGGCCCCCAGGCCCCAGGCAGAAGCTGGCGTTGCACTATTGCGCATGCGTCTCCATGCCTCGCACCCCGACGGGGGATCTGCGCCCCCCTCACGCGGGTCTTTCTCCACACGGCGTCAAATCCAAAGCCAGGCACTCCCCTGGCGACCTGAGCCAGCCCCCTGCCCACCAGCCTCCTGGCCAGTCCCTTGTCACCTCCCCTTCCTGACTTCTGGCACTGCTGGTTCCCGCCCCTGTCTTTCTGGAAATCTCTTCATTCTGAGAACCAATCGACTAAGGGGCTCAGTCGCCAGTGTTCACCCAGATGTCTCCTGCGTGTGCCCAGCCAGGCGGCCCTGCTTAGCCCTCCAGGGTCCCCCTTCCAGGTCACCACTGCTCCTTGTGTGCGATGCCAGGGGGCTTCTAAAACTTCACAGGACACATAGTTAAAAGAGAAGTTTATGGGGCCAGCACTGTGGTGTAATGGGCTAAAGCCTCCGCCTATAGCACCAGCACCCCATATGGGCACCGGTGCGAGTCCCCGCTGCTCCACTTCTCTCCAGCTCCCTGCTAATGTGCCTGGGAAAGCAGCAGAAGATGGCCCAGTCCTTTTACCCCTGCACTTTCCATGAGCTCTCTGAACTGCCCTCATATAACACATTTCTCTCTCCTGACATCTCTCATGGACGCTCCATCCACTCCAGCCAGGACGCTTGTGCCCCAGAGACCAGGAGGTTTTTCTGGCTGATGGGCACAGCTGTATAGGTTGCCCGCCCCTTATCCAAAATGATAGGGACCGGAAGTACTCCAAATGGGCTTGTCCTGGGATTTGGAATATTCCCATACACACAGTGAGGTCTCCTGGAGACTGCGCCCATGTCTTAAACACAAGATTCCCTGCGTGTCACGGGCCCCGGGGACACAAGCTCTGGGTAACTTCTCATCATGTCCCTAGTGCACCTGCTTTCTGCATATGGACCAGCATGAGAGGGAGGGTGCGGGTTTCACTGCTGGCGGCTTGTGGGCACTGAACACCACCACACCTGGGGCACCTGCACTGCACTGTGCAGGCGGGGAAGCCCACGGCAACCACGGGCACACACAGGAAGGCTCCAGCTCTCCCGATCATGGAGGAGCAAGCTACTCACCTGCAGCAGGGGCGGGGTCTGTGGGTTCCAGGCTGGGGTCTCCCACATCTGGAGACAGAGATGAAGAGGACAGGTCGGGGCTGGGGGCTTCCTCTGCTCCCCCCCCATTCTCCGTCCCTGGCCCCCTGGGGTGGACGTCCCTTCAACATGACCCTGGGCTTTCTTTAGGAGCCCAGGGAGGACCTGGGAACTGGGGGCTTCCTCACCTGTGACCAGGAGCTTCACGGGCTCACTGGGGAAGGACCACACATGGTCACTATAGGCGCCAAAACACCTGTATGTGCCCGTGTGTGCCGAGGTCACAGGGCCCATGGGGAACTCCGCTGGCACCGCCCCGTGGCTGCCCTGTGGGTGGCTGGGCCCGCCTTCCTGGAGCAGGAAGAAGGTGTTGGTCACCGTCTCTAGCCGGCAGTAGAAGGTCACATTCTCTCCCGAGGTCACCGTGGGCCCTGGTTGAACCCATAGGGTGGGCGTGTCGTACATTCCTGCACGAGAAGGTGGCCGGTGTCTTCCTGCCTCCCAGGTTCCCCCCCTGCAACCTCAGACCCTCCTCCTCCCCCCACACCTACCCCATCCACAGACGCGCCCTCCCCAGCGGTGCTCCCAGGTACAGCCGCTCAGTGCCCCCAGCTTCCAGGAGCGAGGATCAGACTCTCTGGGAGCCACTGTCCACGGGGTTTTCCCAGAGTTTGGCTGCTAGGACCACAATGCCAGCACGGCCTGGGGCAGCCGATGGCCAGGGGCCACCTCAGAGCCACCAGTCAGAGACTCGGGTGGGGCGGCCGTTTGCTTATGTCTTTGGGGGGAAACATACATAACATAGAATTCAGCATCTTCACAGCTTTAAGCGTCGCCCTGTGTCTCAACTTCTTTTGCAAGCTCAGCCCGTTCCCTCACATGCGGTGCAGCCCACGTTTGTCACGCATTCCCCAGGGGACACTCGACTGCTTGCAGCTCTCGGCCCTTCTGATCCAGGCTGCGGTGACTCGGGGCCAAAGCTCTCTGTGTTTGTCACGAGCCCTCCTGCAGATCCTACCAAGTGCTTCAGTCTGAGACACAGGTCCCCGGCTGTAGGGAGCGCCCTGGCCCGGACAGCTTCCCTCCGTGGGAGCGGCCCTCCCACAGGACAAGCCTCTCTGTCTGCCCGGCCTGCTTCTCTCCCCTGTCCCAGGGACCTGGGTGCCATCCTCGGTAGGAGCCCTGCACGATGCCCTGCTGGGCTTCCCTCTCCTACAGGCTCCTCCCAGAGGAAGCAGCCCCCATTCTGACACCTGCAGAGCATGGCCGGGTGGAGCCGCCACCTGCCCCCACCACAGCCCAGCAGCGGGCAGACTCACCGGTGACCACCAGATCCAGGGGCTCGCTGGGCTCCGACCAGAGCTCCCCGCTGCGGCAGAAGCAGCGGTAGCGCCCTGCAGTGCGCGAGGTCATGGCTGCGATGGGGAACCGGACTCCGCCCTTCGCTCTGGGTCGCTGGGGTCTCCCCCAGGCAGAGAGGCCCCCCTCTGAGTGCAGCTGGTACTCCTCGGCCCCGGGGAGCCCCTGGCACCAGATGGCTGCCGGCTTCCCCTCTGGAATCCTGGAGTCGGGCTCTGCCCAGATGCTGGGCCTGGTCAGTGCCTCTGGAAGGGAATCAGAACCTGAGTTTCCAGAAGGACCCCTCCCCAGCCCCCTCCCACTGGCAACAGCCCCGTCCACTCCCAGTTTTCCCAGTGGTGGTGACTTCCTGGGGACCTCGAGGGTGACCCTGGGGCGGTGAAGGGAGGACTCACGCTTCTGGGTGCTGATTCTCCAGCTCAGACACAGCCCTGGGAGGCAGGAACCATGGGTCATATTGCCCCCCAACCCGTACCCCCGGCCTCTATTGCCCTCCCGTACCAGGACTCACCGAGGCAGAGCAGGGCTGTGAGTGGGGAGGGCATGGCGCAGATTCAGGCGGGAGGTGTGTTTGGCCGGCCGGCGAGGGGCACAGGATGTGGTGGGTGAGGCCCTACACCACTCACCCTGGGGATTTCACACTGACTTTCTTACAGGTGGGGTCACAGCCCTCCTTCCGCCACCTGATCACAGCCCCACGGACATCCAACCACACCTGCGCCCTCGGTGTTCCTGTCAGCTTCAACACCACACCACTCCCTCCCCAGAGCTCCCGTCCATTGCTGGCCTGGGTGGCTCCTGTTGTCTCTGGGTGCCCCAGGGCCGGGTCTGGGTGGGTTCACAGCGCATCTGCAGCTCTGGAACAGAGGGGAAGGCGGATCGAGGAGCCCAGTCCCGGGGTGGCCCTGGGAGGTCACCGTGCTGTCCACATGCAGGGGAGACGAGGGAGGGCACAGGGTTTCGTGTCCCCCACTTAAACTCCTCACGGCCGTGGAGACACGTGGGACTCCGCACAGCACCGCCCCCCGTCTGGAAAAGGGAGCGTAGGCTCTGTCTCCTTTCTGAGCAACAGAACCGGGAGGACCGCGGCCATCTCCCTGCAGGTGCAGGAGCGAGGGTGGGGGTGAGAAGGCGGGTTTTCTGTGCTCCCTGGAAGTGACAGTGAACAAGGTCCGCCTGTGTGACCTGGCTGGTGCCCCCAGGGCCCTGATCACATCTGTGCCTGTGAGTACTCGCCTTGGGGGAGATGACAGTGGCTGGATTTCAGAGACAGCATCGGGACCGAGGCAGGGCCGCTCTGGCTCCAGGGGTGGACACCTGGGGTGGGTTTCTTCTCCTGTCCTGGGTTACTGGGACCGGCTCACCCCGAGCTCCCCCAACACAACTTTCTCCAAACACCGACCACGGAACTCGCGTCAACCCTGGCGTCGTGAGGATGAAGCCAAAGTCCCCACGCGGTCTCCTGGGGTGGGGGTCCAACTCTGGCTTTCACCTGAGTTTCTGATCTTCTATTTTTAAATTCAGAAAGTTTGGGAGGGAGGGAGGCAGAGAGAGAGAGAGCAAGAGAGAGCGAGGGAGCGCTCCATCTGCTGGGTCACTCCCCAAATGCCTGTGATGGCTGGGGTGAACAGGGCCAATGCCAGGGGCTAGGAGCTCCATCCACATCCCCACACGGGAGGCAGGAGCCCAGCTACCCAACCCGGGACCACGGCTCCAGGACCTGCATGAACAGGCAGCTGGACCCAGATCTGCAGCCGGGAATCGAACCCAGGCCTCCCGTTGCATCATGGTAGGGGTGTGTGTGTGTGTGTGTGTGTGTGTGTGTGTAAGTGTCATGTTTACATGACAAATAGACACAAATACAGCCTTTGGCTTCAAAGTAACTGTGCTTTAAAAGGAGAAAGTGTGCTGCCCTCACCCCTTCTCTCAGGCTCCTGTGACAAGCCCTGCCTGGCCATGGAACAGGGTCTGGGGTGAGGCCAGGACAGAACATTTTCTTGCCATGTTGTAACTCCTCCAGCGTCCTCTTGGATAAAGTTCCAGTGAGTCCCCAGTGAGGCCCTCCCTCTGCCAACTGATCACGGTCAGTGATGGGGTTCCAGTTAGCCCCCGCCCCGGGGGGGGAGGGCTCTTTGTTTCCTCCTGAGGCTGGTTGTTCTCACTGAGGGTTCAGCTGCAGTGGGTTCTACTCCCCATGGAGGGCCCCAGCTCCCTTTCTGTGGTCTCCCCCAGTTCCCCCAGGGCTGGGTGCCCAGCAGGTGGCAGCTCTCCGGTGGACGCTGTGGGTTTGCAGGTTCCCACCCCACTGGGTCAGACTCAGCCTCGTGTTCTTGTGAAGGCCGCGGGTGTTGGGTTTTCAGGACTTTGCTTCCAGATCTGCAGGTGCAGGCTCCCCACATGTGGCCGGCTGGGGTGGTGACCGGAGCTTTTCCCTGAGGGCCGAGTGTCCTGACTGCTTTCTCTCCACAGCACCCGCTCTCTGGAGCTCTGTGGAGACCTTGGCTCAAAGCCCCCTCCTCAGGGACTTGGGGCGGAGTCTCTGTTCCCTGGGAGGTGCTAAACCCCATCAGGGCCCACCTCCTGGGTAGTGTCTGCCAAGTACCCACGCTTCCGCTCCCACTCGAGCCAGAAGCCTCTCAACTAAGTTTCGTCTCCACCACTAGCTCTTTATTTCTGTGCCCTTGAGACCAGATACCTATGGGATTGTTTCTAATGTGTCCTGTTGATGTGTGTACATATGTGCATGTGTGTTTATCTGTGTGGAGGTGTGTGCACCCATGTATGTGTGCATGTGTGTATGTGTGTCTTCGGGTGTAGGCATCTGTGCATGTCTGTGTGCATCTGTGTGTCTGCGTGTGAGTGTCTGCGTGTGTGTGCCTGCGTGTGTGAGTGTGCTGATGGGTGGGGCAGTTCTGTGCACGGCCTGACCAGCACTTCCTCTCATGCAGCTCTGTGCCCAGCAGAGCTCAGCACATCCTGCCCCAAGGACCAGAGCCAGCCCATGGCCTCTCTGTGGATGGCCCGTGGGCTTAGCGTGTTTTCACATTTTCGCATGTCTGAGAGGAATAGAAAGAAGGCTGATCCGGGACGAGTGGACACGCTGTGACACGCAAACATCAACTCTCACCTGGCCCACTGGGACTCGACCATGCTCCAGCGTGTGCACCGCTCGTGGCTGCTCGGCTGTCCCCATGCCCACCTGGCTCAGCTGACCTCCTGTCCCCAGGTATACTGCCTGGGGGACTGCAGAGGATGTGAACTGAATGTGGGGGGTGGCGAGAAGCTACTCACGTCTCATCCCTGCCCGAGTCGTGGTGCCCTCTACTGTGTTCCCATGCTCCTCTGCACACCCGTGCTGTGGACAGGGCCCTGGACAGCCAGCTGCGAGCCTCTGCCGAGGACACAGCGGGGCTGAGAGACACCTACCTGTGACCACGAGCTCCAGGGCACCACTGGGGGCCGCCACACCTTGGGGCTGCCACGGTGGCAACCACAGAGATGCAGGGGTTCCCAGGACCAGAGCCAAGGTTCCCTGGCCAACCTGGTGTTAGCACTGTGGTAGGGCGTCCTTCCCCCCACCCCGGGGGCTCACTGGAGCTTTATCCAAGAGGACGCTGGAGGAGTTACAACATGGCAAGGAAATGTTCTGTCCTGGCCTCACCCCAGACCCTGTTCCACCACCAGGCAGAGCTTGTCACAGGAGCCTGAGAGAAGGGGTGAGGGCAGCACACTTTCTCCTTTTAAAGAAGAGTTACTTTGAAGCCAAAAGTTCTATTTGTGTCTATTTGTCATGTAAACATGAAACACGCACACACACACACACACACAGAGTGGAAGAGCTAACCCAAGCTAGATAACGTGTGCATTACCTCACAGACTTATTGTGTGCTGGGAGCATCTGACACAGTTTTAAGCAATTTCAGCTGCCCATGCAGTGAGCGTTATTAACTAAGTCGCCATGACGCACACTACACCTCTAGACCTCTTCTCCCACGTGATTCTGTAGCTCTGCACTCTGACCTGCGGATCCCACGCCCTCCCCTGGTGACGGCCATGGTGCTCCCCGAGTGCCTCACAGCCCACACCTGAGTGACTTCCCGCGTGGGTTCTCCTCTGTGCCTGGCTTGTTTCACTCCCACAGTGTCCGCAGTGCCTCGGTCTGCTGCAAACGTCCTGGTTTCACTCGTTCCATGACCGAGTCTTATTGCACTGTGAGACGCCTTGATTCGGGCCCCATTCGCCTCGGTTGATGATGACAGCGATGCGAGCTGCACCGCAGGAACGCGGGCGCGCAGGTGTCTAAGGGTCTCCTCCCCGTTAGCTCCTCCCCTATGCCCGACCTGCGCTAGAAGGGAGCAGTGGGGGTCTGGGCCCGGAGGGGTGGTGCAGCCCAGGATCCCCTCTCTGTCCCACACTGTTGTGGACAGGTGAGCCAAGGAGACGCCCATGCACTCAGGGAGTTGCCATCCTGGAGACGTAAAACCAGGAGGCGGGCATGGTACCAAGGGTTAGAGGGGCAGGTGTGGCTGAAGGGGAGCTGCCGTGTAGAGAGACGGTTCATGGTGGACTGACCGGAATTGCCAGACGCCCTCTACCGGAAACCGGGGAACCTCGGGCATGCATCTGGAGACCCCAGTCCCCTGCTCCGCAGACCTGCAGAGTTCAAACGCGCTCTTCCCGAAACCCGGGAATATCGGCCGCTCTCTGGAGACCCCACACACCAACTTCCGGAAACTGAAAGACCCCCGCACTTCTCCTCCGGAAACCCGGGGAGTTAGAAGCACTCTTCCAGAAACCCCGCATACCCCACTTCCGGAAACTCAGAGACCATGCACTTTTCTTCTGGAAACTGCAGACGCGCTCTTCCGGAAAGCAGGGGTCCCAGACACCCCCTCAAGATACGTTGGCGGAGCCGCCCTGGGGGTAGAGCTGCAGAGGAGGCTGGGCCGGAGCAGGTGTGTGGTGCTCCACTTCTCAGGTGTGAGTTGTGTTATGCCCAGATAAGTAGCTCCCCAGGAAGCCATCAGCGACCAGATCACACCGAAATGCAAAGGCAAGGCTTATTTTAAAAGTACAAGACATGGCAGGAATTCATCTGACCAGCCGACGCAGCGGAGGTCAGAGGAAGGCCCCAGCCTTTGTTTAGGAGCACTTTTAAAGGAAAAAACCACAGGGTTACATCAGCCAGGGCTTACAGGACGGGGCTTTTGGTGATTGGACGGGGCTGTTCAGGGTTTTTCTTATTCGAGGGGGGTCTCCATTTGGCTTGGATTCAGGGAGTTACCTCATTTGGTAATCTCTACTGAGCTGCCTTTGGTCTGCTGAGCTGTCCTTGGTAAGCTTTGATATCCCTGGAATGCCTGAATGCCTGCTTTTACAAGGACTCGGGTCTGCTATGGGAAATGGAGGCTGCTTTTTATTTAATTTTCTGTAAATGGAGTCACTTTGGCTCTTCAGGTTGCATGTAGACTTCCTTCCACGCAGAAAGTGCTGGGGAGGAAGGGTGAGGCTCCCTTGGGAACCAGGTGCCCCAGATCCACAGCAG